TGTTAAATTAAGTCCATTTATTCCATTCATTTGCGTGAAATTCATCAAAACATAGTGCGGAAAGTGCAAGTGTTTTTTTGCAAATAACTCTTTAATTAATTGAAAATGTTAATTTCCGGTCCCGGATTGTTATTATTGGCGTTAAGGCGCGTCGATTGATACCACGCTCGAACTTTTTCCTCCATTTTGACCTACCTTCGCCAAAGTGCACTACTACCGTATAATGTAAAACGAAATTTATTGAATAATTCCACATAAAGTGGTATACATAAATGACTCGTTTTCTAAACGGTTTAATTAAAACGCATTTCATAACCTTTTTTGTGCAAACGGCATTTGCGAATTGAGAGAAAAGTACTGCGGATTGCAAATTTTTGTTAACTATGAGGTGAACGAAAATTTTCAACCCGGCCTGACGGTTTTGAAGAATTTTTTTGTTCTAATTTTATTACCAAGGCGTCTAATAAATGCATGGCTTTTAGTTCTAGAAGAATAAAAGTTAGTAAAGACAAGTCTTTTTTGTATAATTTCTGATCTTAATTGCTCAACTTTTTTTGCACCAGAGCAACTGTCAAAAATTTCCAGCAGTAAAAAGCTACGAATCGGCACAACAATGCAAAATTTTCTCCCCATAATAAAAAAGTTTTTTCAACATGGAACTTTTCTACTAATTGACATGACATTACTATCTCAATGCTCGGGGCGCTGCCACGGAGGGCTTTTGCCAGCTGATAAAAAAGAGAAAATTTGGAAATACCAAACAAAAATTTTGAGATTTCTCCTTGTGAATACGAATGCCATTGTTTTTAAGGCCTGTATGCAGCTCTCAAGAAAAGCAAAAACTCCATATAAAATGACGTACAAGAAATGGCCAAGAAATTTTCTTGAGTCAAAGTTCCTTAAGGCAGTACGCAGTTCTTATGAAATTTACTACGCTTTCTACTACGGTTTTCTAAAGTTTTTTGTGAAAAAAGAGCACAAGGCAACCCAGGTTTGCAAAAATGTCAAAATTCCTTGGACACACACACGAAATAATGGCAAATTTTTCTTGACCGTTTTCTTGAGAGCTGCATACAGGCCTTAAGGGAGTCCCCTAACTGTATTTGTTTGAAATGGTTTGTTATCGTACATTTTGTTAGGTAAAATTTTCAACTTTAACAACAAATTACTCGTAAACTATGAGTTTCCTCGCTGTCCGGTTTTAAGTTTTGTGATGTGTACGACCCCGTCTACACCCCCCATAAAGTCATTTTGTTCAAAGCGTGGTGCACTCGCTAGAACTGTAAAACTGTGAAGTCATATGAAATTAAATATCATGAATTTTTTGTTATTATGTTTCATTGAATTTTTCCTTGCTGGGAATGTGGCTTATAATTTTCCAATTCTATATTCACTCAAAGTAGATACGATTGCACACATTAACATATTCAAAGAAAGATTGAAAATCTGAATGACGAAACATTGGCCCGTAGCTATAGTCAAAATAAAGTCGACTCCCAAAGTTAAAAGCAGCTTTTTGACACAACTTTCAATGGGATATCTGTCAAAAAACGCGGCTTTTAACTTTAAGGCTCTGTTATGCATACTTGGCATTGCTTGAGAGTTGTCACATAAGGAATCTGTTAAATGAGCTTCGCGTGTAAGCGGTTACCCAACGCACAGCATTACATACGTAAAAGTCTGTTGGTTTTTGATTTCTACGTATAAATGGTATAGCAGTGCATGCAATGCCAAGTATGCATAACAGAGCCTTTAGAGTCGACTTTATTTTGACTATAACTACGGGCTATTAACTTTTAACACTGAATAAGTATTCAGATGAATGCAGCTTTTGCTATGTGTGCACACATTCATTCAGTCCCAATCAATCGATATAAATATTCTAAATACACAAAACCCACTGAAAAATACGCAATATTTATAATAAATGAAAATATTAATTAGAGAAATATTTTTGTGCCAGGAATGTCATTATGAAAAATGTTAATTATTAACGATTTTTACATCTCTGTTTCGAAAATTGTCAGCTTTCTTAATAGGTATTACCAATGTACCAATAAAAGGTATGTGCAGATATTATTACATATGTACATACCTATATATCTACGTTAAAATAAGTAAACAAATTTAAGCACTTCTACTTCTAACTTTAGACATATACATTTTATTATTTATTTATAAAAATTCTTAATACAAGTTTCTTCGTACTTTTTTCTTCGCTATTCGATCAAGCATTTAATAAAGATTCTAAAACCTGATTTGTGGATTTGTGGTGGTTTCTACCATTTACAATAAGTTGCAAATTATCAACTTTTCCCAAAAAAATATTTAACAAATCTGTGTGCAAACCCATTTTTATTTTAGTTTGGTAGAATCGAAAAAAATGTGGTAGATTTGAATAAGATGTGGTAGATTTTCCAATTCATATTTAATTGGGTATTCATATCGCATACCGTCGTCAAAAGGAGCACAACTCAAAAATTAAATCGGGAAATATAATTGCTAGTGGATCGTACGCAATTGGTGCAAAAACAAGTATAACATTAGTTTTCTAGTTAGAGAATATAATCATGAAGAAAAGAATATTTTATTTGTATGCAAAAAAAATCGACCAAATTATTTTTACATTGCATAATACTTTAGCAAATATAAATAGGCGTATTTTTGAAATATTAAAAAGTTAAGGCACAGATATATTTAAAGCATAATTTATGTTGTACCTTTTTAAAAATTTATTGATTAATTTTTATATTTCGAATTACAATTGAGTTGAAATTCTGGAGTTATGTGAAAATTGTAAACAAATGTTCTGTCTCAATTGTGGTAGATTTTAAGCCTTGTGTGGTAGATGTAGTAGACACCCAAATTTAAAAAAATACGTGGTAGATCTACCACACATGTGGTAGAAGCTTGCACACTGTTCTATATTGGAGCAAATTGATGTTTAAAGCTAGCAATATATCCCATGTCCATTTTCCAAAACTATAATAATAAACATGGCATTTTTTTCAGCAATTTGGTTCCTGTAATTAAGGAAATATTGTAGTTTTGGCATTTTTCGAAACTACCATTTTATGAGAGGGACCAGGTTATTGTTCGACTTTTGTATTTTCAATACCATGCTGCCCTAGATAAAAAAAAAAACCCTCGTACCGAATTTGGTTGAGATATCTCAACTTTTGCTAGAGTAATCGTGTACGCAAATAAACGGACATGGACTAATCATCTTCTCTTTTTATTCTGAGCATTTTCATGTATATCTGTGTTCGTATGGAAAAGTAGCTTATGTTGAAAGGCTGGCTTTAGTATAAATCGGCATTCGCAGCATACGATTGCGAATGACTTACGGGCGCTAAGCCGTTAAACAACTTTTAGCAAATAACCGTGCAAGAAATAGTTCCGATGCTAGCAAGTCAATATTTTTTTAAGTCTCATCAAAAAATTCCTTGTCGTTTAAAAAATAAAGGGAATGCCGCATTATATTAAAGCCGGCCTTTCGACATAAGCTACTCTTCCATACGAACACAGATATATACATACATAAGTAGTACATACGAACATAAATGTATGTATCCATATCGATTAATTTTGGTTGTTCCAAATACACGTTATGTGAAAAAAAGTTATTGTACCCTCTTGCAGAACTGCGTTGTAAATATGTTTAGGAAACATTTAAATTAATAGTTAATTAAAAAAAGTTGCTGAAAGTAATGGAACTCCTCAACCCCTTAAAAAAAAAAACAGGAACCCTTCTGAAATTTTGTTTTGAAAGTTTTCAAATTTGAAAACTGAAAAAAATCACAGTATACAGCAAACCAGCCATTGACAATATACTTATTTGAAAACTAATACATGAAATGTTGTGAATATATATGATTTTTTTGTCATTAAACCATAGGCAACAACTGGTGCAAAAGTACCTACAAATGTTTGTTGATATATTTGAAATGTAAATTTGAACAGCAAAATCCGTAAAACAAATTATAATAAAAATATTTTTAATTACTATATGGGAGGTGGGCGTGGTTATTGGCAGATTTCGACAAAATTTAACACTAACCTAAATTATACCAAACGCAACTTCGACACCGACTTTCGTTAAAATAACTAAATTTTGTTCGAGTTAGCGTGTTTAAAAACAGAGAGGGCTGAACTAGTTCATCTCGTCATTCTGAATATTTTTATATAAATACATGCATATGTGTATATATGTACATATATTTTATACGGTTAACAAATGCGCTCGCTTATCTGCATAAACCGTCTTTACTTGCATTAATTCATGCATTATCCTCTTTCAAATGTGAATAATCGGCTGAACAAATATACACAAATTACGTGCATTTGAAAATTTGAAGGTTCTACCATAAGCTAAGTAATACTTCTTTTACCGCCTAATGGATGGGACCATTTTACAAAGTCCATTATTCACTCAAAGTTGTGTTCAGAACACGGTTTGACTTATGTAGGAACTTCATACGGTCATAATTGCTAACTCTTCACGCTTCATTTGCTTGGAATTTCGTGTTTCTCGTTATTTTATTCTATGTGACTTGAAAATATTTTTCATTATAAGAAAATATTTAATTTGGATTTCATTTGGGTTAACGAAAACGACAACTGTGAAAAAATATCAACCGATACATTCAAACAAAATGACAAATAAGCATGTTTACATTTTTTGTTTTGGCTACCTGGATCACTGTATACTGTGAAAAAAATATTTAGTACAAAAATAATTGTGATAAATCAATTTTGTATATTCTTCTGCGAAAAAATGTCTACAATCGATGATGTATATGTATACATATCACGATGTGTCTGTTTTGCTCTACGGTTGCGATAAGTTCGTTTGGAATAATATTGCACGAGTCATTGGCTTTAGGTTAGTGGCAGAAAACTTCAATACATAAGTACATATACATTGAAATAAAATACTTGTTTTTGTTTCAATTCCAGATAATTTCAAACTTTAAAGTATAAAATATATCAACTGTAAACAGTACCAAATAAAGCAACCCTGTACTGTAGAAAAGTGTGAAGTTGGTATTGGCGAAAGGCAACCAACTTCACTCTTTTCCGAACTGCTGAACCTCGTGAAGCAAGAAAGAAAACCTAAAGCATTTTTATAAAGTTTATCTTAATTTATCTGGAATAAAGGCTGAGAGTTTAAAGCATCAGGTGTGGTACAAATTCTACGAAATGCTTTCTACACGGGACGATTACGCACAACTATTAAGCGAGGCGGGTATCCAATTCCCGGCTACCGCCACGTTGTCGCAGCTGAAACGTATGGCGATTAACATGGTGGGAGCATCTGACACAGTGAACATACGCGGTGCTCCGTGTGATTTTCTTTCACAGCAAACAAATACAAGCGCCGACATGGCTAGTGTGGGTGACTGTGCTGATGAAGTGGCGATTGTAGGTGCCCCTGCCGGAGCTGCGCATTACGGTAAGCAAAATGTTTATCCATCTGCCGATAAAATTAATTCCGCCGGCAATGAGGCCTCTGCTGAGGGTGCCGCTGCCATCACCCCTGCCGTAGCCACTACAACCGCCATTGCCGTTACTACTGCCGTTGCTAATGGAGCTACCACTGCCGTTGCCGATACTGTTGCCAGTGCCACCGCCGTTGCCGATACTGTTGCCAGTGCCACCGCCGTTGCCGATATTGTTGCCAGTGCCACTGCCGTTTCCGATACAGTTGTCAGTGCCACTGCCGTTGGCGATACTGTTGCCAAGGCCACTGCCGTTGCCGATGCCGTCGACGTTGCCGGTAATGTTGCTGCCACCAATGCCACCGCCCTTCCTGCAGTCAAAACAGCTAGCATCGCTAACTCCACTTCTGTTGCTGTTCCCGCTACCGCAAGTATTGACGAGGAATTGTCTTCACTGCATAAGAAGCTGGAAATAATGATGTTAAAACAACGCATTTTCGAATTGGAGAAAGGCTCAGCACCACCAGTGTGTAATGCTGGCAACAAAAACAGTTACTGTGATGTCGAACATGCATTAACAAAGTTCAGTGGAGATGACATTGCATACTCAGTGCGATATTTTTTACGAGATTTTGAAGAAGTGATGAACACAATTAATGCTGATGAACGTTTCCGATTTTTATGCCTTCGGCGGTCTCTTACCGGCACTGCACGTGTGTTTTTGTCCACGACAGCCGCATTCACATACGATCAGCTACGCAAGCAACTAACTGCTGAATTCGACAGAGACGTCAGCCGGCAAGATGTTTACAAGATGTTAGACCAACGGCGATGGCAGAAGAAGACCGAGTCACTCCACTGCTACATTCTCAACATGCAGGCCATCGCCAAAAGATCTGACATAACCGAAACTGAAGTCATCGACTTCATAGTTGAAGGCCTAGGAGATAATATCTCTAACAAAAATCTCCTTATGGGCGCACGCACAATTGAAGAGTTGAAGATGCTAGTGGCCAGATACCAGCAGAAGTACTTACGTCGCGAGAGTGACACAATCAAAAGGCCGGCAAAGGAATCAATAAGGACTACGAAGGAAGTTGCCCACTGTTTCAATTGTTCGCAAACAGGGCATATAAAACCCAATTGCCCGTACCCGCTCAGACCAAACGGTTCCTGTTTTCGCTGTTGGCAGATGGGTCATGAGCATCGTTCCTGCCCCAATCCGAAGAAAATTCTTCGTAAAACCGACAAACGACAACAAGTCCTGGCAGTTGCAGAGGTTGAATCCGGTGAAGACGACGAAGACGTAGGCGCTTACAATTTTGTGAGTATTAAGTTTAGTGACTGTAAGAAGCAGGTATTTAATAAGTATATTTCTCTTTTTGATACGGGTAGTCCCGTTAGTCTGTTACGGGAATCTGATATTCCGAGAGAATTTATTAAAGGACACAAACAACCCAAAATATCAAAATACGTTGGTGTCGGAGGGAAGAGAATATTGATTAAAAATGAATTAAAATGTTTTGTTAAATTTAAAAAACGAAATAAAAGAAGTTACATTTCTAGTTTTGTCAAATGAATGTATGCTCATGCCAGTAGTTCTAGGAAGAGATTTTTTGTCCAAGTTTAGGATTCGCTTAACAAAAGTAAAGCTGAGATATGTTAAAGAAGAACTAATGTGTATTAGAGAAAAAATGAATTATTTTGTACCCCAAAGAAACGCACTTGCGAACCTCAGCAGATGCGATCTTTTAAAATCATATGATGAAAATAGAAAACTCAATTCCGATCCTTTGGTAACGCATGCCAGTAATGATATATTTTGCATTAATATAGAATCTTTCGCGTTAGAACCAGATATAAATCCTAAATTGAATAGGGAACAATTGGTAGCCTTGAACAATATAATTAGGGAATCTTACCTAGAGCCAAGAGAAACTGCAATCGAGCCGCTTGATTATGAGATGAAAATTCATCTAACCACCGAAATACCATTTTATTGCACTCCACGACGACTGTCTTACTCAGAAAAATCCGAAGTACAGAATAAAATTGACGAATTACTGAAGGAAGGAATCATTAGGCCCAGTAATTCGCCATATGCTTCTGCCGTAGTACTAGTCAAAAGAAAAGGAAAGATGCGCATGTGCATAGATTATCGAGGTCTAAATAAAATAACTGTAAGGGATAATTATCCACTACCTTTGATAGATGATTGCATAGAATACTTGGAGGGAAAACGAATATTTACGGTTTTAGATTTAAAAAGCGGATTCCACCAAGTTCGCATGTTACCGGAATCAGTCCCCCTCACTGCTTTTGTAACACCAAACGGCCAATTCGAATACTTAAAAATGCCGTTTGGATTAAAGAATGCTCCGGCTGTATTTCAAAGATTTGTTAACACAATTTTTAGAGACTTAATTGATTCAAAGCAAATAATAATTTACATGGATGACATTATTATAGCTTCGCAAGATTTTGATGATCACAAATTGTTGTTGGTCGATGTGCTTAGACGCCTTTCCAAAAGAGGACTCAAACTGAATCTTACTAAATGTAAGTTCGGTTACAGTGAAATTGAGTATTTAGGATATTCAGTTAGCTCCAAAGGCATATCGCTAAGCGATTCGCACATAAGCACTATTAAACGTTATCCTGTTCCTAAAAACCAAAAAGAGTTACACTCTTGCATTGGATTATTTTCATTTTTTCGACGATTCGTACCGTCATTCTCACGGATTGTAAAACCATTACAACAGTTGTTGAAGAAAAATTCGACTTTTGATTTTGATGAACAGTGTATTGCCGCGTTTGAAGAATTAAAAACCAAACTCACCGAAAGTCCAGTGCTAGCAATTTATAATCCATTGAGAGAAACAGAATTGCATTGTGATGCCAGTTCGACCGGTTTTGGGGCCGTTTTGCTACAGCGTCAGGACGATGGTAAATTTCATCCAATTTCGTACTTTTCGAAAACAACGTCAAGCGCGGAAAGTAGGTATCATAGTTTCGAGCTCGAAACATTGGCAATCATTTATGCTCTGAAAAGATTTAGAGTATATCTGGAAGGAATTCCATTTAAGATCGTTACGGATTGTAACTCACTTGCTATGACTTTGGGAAGAAAGCAGGTAAACGCACGAATAGCCAGATGGGCTCTGGAACTAGAAAATTTCAACTACATCATTCAACATAGAAAGGGGTCATCAATGGGTCATGTTGACGCGTTAAGCAGATGCCAAATTGCTAACGTAGATATTAATGAAGCCGAGTTTCATATACAATTAGCTCAAGAACGTGACGATTTGATAACAGATTTAAAAGAACGTATGGAAAAGGAGGAAGTAAAGGACTTTAGATTATCAGACGGACTAGTTTATAAAGTAAAGGGAGATGGGAAAACCATGTTATATGTGCCTAGAGAAATGGAAGATAATATTATAAGACTGATGCATGAGAAAATAGGACATCAGTCTGTTGACAAAACTTTGACGAAAATTTGTTTGTACTATTGGTTTCCGAAAATGAAGCTGAAAGTTGAGAAGTTCGTTCAAAACTGTCTGAAGTGCATCATGTATGCAATGCCAGTTCGGGCAAATGAAAGGAATTTCTATAATATACCTAAAAGGCCAGTGCCGTTTGATACAATTCATATTGACCATTTTGGTCCGCTGCCGACAATACAGTCTAAGCGTAAACATATATTGGTCGTAATCGATTCTTTCACGAAGTTCGTAAAACTTTATCCCACTAATTCTACAAGCACTCGGGAGGTTAATGCAGCATTAGATAAATACTTTAGCTATTATAGTAGGCCGAGGAGAATTATAAGCGATAGAGGGACTTGTTTTACGTCACTAGAATTCGAGAACTTTTTGATAAAAAGAAATATAATTCATGTAAAAACGGCAGTTGCTTCCCCACAAGCTAATGGACAGGTAGAACGTGTAAATAGGGTCTTAAAAACAATGTTGGGAAAGCTTACCGAACCAATCAATCATGCGGATTGGTCAAGTAAACTTCTTCAAGTGGAATATGCCATCAACAATTCAATTCACAGTACTACGGGAAGTTCCCCAAGCAAACTCTTATTTGGGGTCGAGCAGAGAGGCGAGATAATAGATGAGTTTACGGAGTACATAGAGGATAAAGTAAATCAAAACGTTCCAAGAGATTTAGAGCAAATTAGATCGAGCGCGTCCGAAGGTATTGAAAAGAAGCAAGAATACAATTTAAGTCATTTCCTGAAGAATAGTGTGAAGGCGAAGGAGTATAAAGTGGGTGACTTTGTTGTTATACGAAATGTAGATACAGTAGTGGGAACAAACAAGAAATTCGTCCCTAAATACAAAGGACCCTATGTAGTGTTTAAGGTTTTAGGAAATGACAGGTATGTCATAAGAGACGTGGACAATTGCCAGCTAACTCAGCTGCCGTATAATGGCGTTATTGAAGCGAATAGAATGCGAAAGTGGGTCGATAAAAACGTTGAAAAGGTCGCTTCTGCTGATGAGTCGAACGGATAATAATAGGCTATAAACTTACACCGTAACATAGTACGTAGCAGTTAAGCTTTAGAATTTAAGATGAATTGTACAGTATAATAATTATACATTGAACACTGTAACGTACAGCATGTAAATATTAGTACCTAAGGCAGTCTAAACATAAATGTAATATAAAGTTTGATGACCGAGGTCGGTCATAGTCAGGTGGGCCGAGTTGTAAACAGTACCAAATAAAGCAACCCTGTACTGTAGAAAAGTGTGAAGTTGGTATTGGCGAAAGGCAACCAACTTCACTCTTTTCCGAACTGCTGAACCTCGTGAAGCAAGAAAGAAAACCTAAAGCATTTTTATAAAGTTTATCTTAATTTATCTGGAATAAAGGCTGAGAGTTTAAACAACCCTGGGATCAAGCTATTGGTACTGAATGGTAAAAAAAGTGTGCATTCATTCTAAATATACAATCATGTGTGAGTGCGAATGCTGCTGAACATTCACATTCTATACTGAATGGCAATCTACCATTCAATAACAAAACATAGTTTGTTTGTTTTCAAATATTTTAAGAAGTTTTTATTTATACAAACCAACAATCAACATTTTGAAAGGAATGCCGAGTGAATGCAGACTATGTTGATTCAATAATTTTACAGCTCTGGCACTCGCCTGAATTCATTCCCGAGAAACTGCCAGCCGATAACAGCTTGTAATATTGCATAATGATTTACCACCTGGGGCCCTGTGCCAATTGATAGAAAATAGAAAATTTTGACGGATCAAAGTAAAAATTTGACACTTCTCGTGGAGAATACGAACGTCAAAATTTTACCTAGCTCATGGGGCTAGGTAAAAATTTGACAGCTTATAACCCCGTATACACATAATATTGCTTGGCGGTAATAAGGAGTGAACATGAAAATGAAAGCTGAAATTATAAAATAAATATAAATTTTAAAAATTTCAGCAACACACAAAAATAAAGCTTTCCCACGAGCGTTTGTTTGGTTTTTCAACTGTCAAAATTTTACTCTGCATTTGGCACAGCAAAATTCAATTTATTTGTACACCATAGCAAATTTTTCCACCCCGTCTCACCACGGAGAAAAAAGTTACCGATTGGCACAGGCCCTACGTACTTGAACACATCTATTTGGAGAACTTACGTGAGAATTGTTTTAAGCGGAGACCGATAACCTTTTATAAATATTAGTATATCGATTAAAGATTTTAATTTGACAGTTTGTCTTCGTACAATTAAAAGGAAATTATTCGAAGGTCGAAGTTACCCTAAATTATAAAAGAATCTGAATGAATTAGCATTTGTTCCAGAATATTGAAATAAAACTACTTAGCAATATAATTTCTCTGCTTCATACGTACTTTTGAGTGAGTACCTGGATACGTATAAAGATCAGCATGGCAAACATGGCAGTTTCTCGCATCAAGTGGGAGTTTAAGGAAGTTATGCGAAGTGAAGAAGTGAGTATTGTGGAATGTAGCTATAGAGAAGAATATCTAGAAGCATTTGCAAAATGACGTGTACATATCGTCGCTGGAATAATGAAATAGTGTAACATGAAAAGTATAGTTTTGAGAAAAACGAATTGGATAAACCATTACAAACCGTACAAATACAATTTCGTTTTTCGGGAATAAATTAGTGAGCCAAAGAGATATTTATGAAAACTAAAGATTTTTCTAATAGATAAAAGGATTGTCTATCCAATGGTGCAATTATCGAATAATAGTGTATGTGGCATTTACACTGTGTCTTTATTCGAGCGACGATTTGATTTTTATTTCATTGCATAACTTACTTCCACGTTAGAAGTAATTTAAACGATAAATATACATACATAAATACACACATATTTACTTTCACGAATTTATTCATAAAAAATAAAAAAGGTTTTTAAACTGTATAAAATGTATGAAAGTGTCATTTTATTTAAGCTCTTGAAGCCTACTTTATTTTTTATGAACAAGGCCATTAAACTTTAACTTATTTGGTTTATGTTATGTAACAGACTACACGAAATATCAGTTTATTTGAACTGATGGACAAAATTGAATGATAGTAATCCATATAAGAAAATTGGGTTGCCAATGGAAGACAAAATTTAAAAAGTATGTTTTTTTAAAAGTATTCGATACTACGAGTACTTTGGAAAGTATCGAGTAAAATCGCTAAATAAGGTATCGAGTATTAAAGTACTCATTTTTATACCATCAGTATTGATATTTACTCAATATCGATAGTATCGTTCGAACCCTAAAGGCTGATTCACATACAACTTTTTCGCTTGCTTGATAGTTCTTTGCTTTGACATATAGGCTGCGTTTCTTTATACATTCCGGATAATCCCATTTCACAGCCGGAATAAACAGAATACGTTTGAAATATACGTTAACATATCATCAGGAACGTTCTAAAGAATAAGTAAACAAAAAAGTTTATTCCAAACGTTCAGAATGAATAAAAAAATTCAGCCATAAGATCGATGTAGGCATATGCATGAGTATGCTCGCATAAAAAACGTTTGAAACAAAGCAAAGCAAAACGAAGCAAAATCTTGGGCATTTCTCAACTTTTGCCCGCTTTGGCAATCAGCTGTCTACACGTATCTCTTCTCGTGCGCTTGCATTTGCATTCAATGACAAAAATAGGGTAAATAGGAATTTGTATTGCTATTATTAATGCATATTATTATATGTTATCTATTTTACAGATACAAAAATATGGAGGAAAAGGAGAACGCAAAAGCTGTCAAAGCGTTTATTGTAGCATACCTTCTGCGTTTCGCGCTTTGTTGTCAAAGTTTGAACTGTCATGCAAAGCGAGGAAAGTTGTATGTGAATGGCCCTTAACACCGACTAATCGTCTCATTTCTAAGAGCCGGTTACTCAAAGTCTGGTTAACACTAGTCTCCGGATAAACATAGTTATCGACGTTGCCGACTCCCTGTTATATGCATGGAGTAGAAGTCGTCGATAACGATGTTTAACCGCCGATTAGTGGTAACCAGACATTGAGTAACCGGCCCTTAATGTGTTTAGGGACACGTATCGAACAGAAAGTATTGATATGGTACTTATTTAAAGAATCATTTCCATAATATCGGGTACCCATTAATATCGGAATAAAAAGACTCGATATTCCATATATCGATACCAAAAACCAAAAAATGTATCTAATTATAGGTCTCGTATATAGGCCGCTGTGGGGTAATGGTTAGCAGTGCGTAAAGCTTGAAAATGAAAAACAGCTTCCCATTAAAACAAATTCGCCGTTCAGAGTCGACATAAAACTGTAGGGACCCCCTTTTGTGCCACAACATTAAGGCGCGCGCGACAAATCGGAGGAGAATCTCGGTCAACCACTAACATATTGGCTGCATTTCTTTATTCATTCTGAACGTTTGGAATAAACTTTTTTGTGTATTTATTCTTTAGAACGTTCCTGATGATATGTTGACGTATATTTCAAACGCATTCTGTTTATTCCGGCTGTGAAATGGGATTATCCGGAATGTATAAAGAAACGCAGCCATAGTGTAACGGCACGTAGAGATTGATGTGTTCACTTAAAACACCGAGGTTGCGGGGTCAAATTCCACCACATGCAATCCTAACTATATATATTTGTATCGGGACGAATTGTTAATAGCATTATCCTTGTAATGTGAGTTTATGACATTCGATACGATACTAGGGCTCTGGTACTCGATTCCAAAAAATAACGTTTTAAAACTATCGAGTACAAAATATCGGCATTAAATGCCAAAAGTATCGATACGGTATCGTATCGTATCGAAATTCGTGTCCCACCCTAAATGTGTTTGGCTTCAGGTTTGTTGTTAAATATTTTATGGATCATTTTAGTACAAATGTCTTCAGCTGGCCCTTGTGACGACTTTTTAGAGTTCCAGGTACGTTTCCTAAGCACTGAAATATATTTTCTAAATTTTATATTTTTAGGAATCTATAAAGAAGATGCGTGCCCTCGATGATAACATTATTTATATGCTAAACAGTTCTCTTCCGACTGAGTCTTTTAAAGGACAGGTGAATTGTGAAAAGGTCTGTTATAACTTGTATACCCAGTTGCAAGACATACATAAACGTCGAGAAAAAAAAATTCGTGATTGCATACTTGCTTCAGCAGAGTCTTTAAAAAAAGTGCGAGAGTTGAGAGAAAATAATCTGGATGATGTCGACATTAATAAAAAATTTAAATTGGAGCAGCGGAAGGTGAATATTATAAAATTTGTTGGGCTGTCCCCGGCTCAATCGACAATTATGGCAAATTCAAAAACTAACCTTTAATAAAACGCGTTTTTGTTTGGGGTGGGCTATAGATTGGTAACCCCAGAATCCGGAATTAAGGAAACTATGGGAGGTAGAGGGGGGTCTAATAGTTGTCTGTATGAAGTTTCAAAGCGCGAAGTCGTATAGGTTTTAAGGAATTTGTTACAATTTGTAAATTTAACAAACTTGTGTGTCGCTATTTCACAATAGTTGCGTTCCTTATATCCTAGAAATAGAAAAGGTCGGAAGTAGGCAGATTTAGTCCAAAGCGAGTTCCCTAAGGTGTGTGTTATGCAGAAATTTTGTTTGGCAAACCGTGCAATTGTTGCAGCAAACTCGGGGAGAGCGAGTTTGGCGACTCTCAGACCAAACTAAATTTGTTTGGTCAAACTGCAGCAAATTTGGTGTCATATACAAAAATTTAAAAAAATTGTTGCTTTACACAAAAATTGACGTGATACCAAAAGCCAGAGAACTGTATTTATGCTGTAGGAGCTTCTCAAAGATTAGGGCACAGTTAATTGCCTATAAGATATCAAAAAAAATTATGGGTGGGCTTTAGTAGTCAGCCGCACCTTGTGTTTTAAGAAAACCAGGTGGAATTAACAAATGAAACTTGGTCAGGATGTTAAGGGAGGTATCCTCTAAAACATGTATAACTAAAAATTATAAATAATGTTTATAAGTTATTTGTTGTTAAAATTTCTTAAGTCGTTCCACTTGGTTTCCTTAACAAAAAAGCATTTGTGCATACTTTTATATATATAAATGCACATAACACTGTACTTAATACTTTACACAATTTTCTTTTATTTTATCTTGTATAAAAATCACTTTAATTAAACTTTTATCGACTTATTGAATTTCACGCATATTTACAATAACACATGGTTGCAAACTGACACATAACATGTGTTGCCATATTGTACAAAACAATACATACAAAGAAGGCAATGATTAAAAAGGAATACAGGGGAAATCAATACTAAGAAAATGTTCAGCTCCTTTTCTTCGCAAAACAGAAAGGAGAATTCTATTGCCTGAAGGTTATAATCCCTAAGTGCGGCCGAAGGCCGCCTACGCAGAAAGGTGTTCTCTGCAAAAGGTGTTCAGCTCCTTTTCTTCGCAAAACAGAAAGGAGAATTCTACTGCCTGAGAGTTATAATCCCTAAATGCGGCCGAAGGCCGCCTACGCAGAAAGGTGTTCTCTGCAAAATGTGTTCAGTCCCCCCCTTCTTCGGCAACACAGAAATAATAATTCTACTAAGTAAAAATTCGAAATTAAAAAAACGCTTTTATTATTCAAAATTCCAGTCTGGTAGCACTAAGTTGTATGTTATTTTGCTATCTTATTCATCGTTTATATGAAAACTTTAACAATAAATTATATAAGAACTATAGGGTTGCTAGAAAAAAGGGGGGTAGTTTTGAAATCAGGGGGTCCTATTCTACCCCCCCTCATACCCCCTTTTTCTAAAATTTGCCGTCCGTCTACTAAAATTTTCCCAAAATTATATTTATTTATTTATTTATTTTTATTTTAACAAAGCTTATATAATAAAATACAATATTATTATACAAACTAAAGAACGCAGCACTAGCTACATAGGCTTTCGGCTGGCCAGTGAGGACTTGACTGATTATATACGACGGAGAAGATCTGAGTCCTTAAGGAATTTATATATCTTAGAGACGTTACCATGGGAAGGATTCATTAGTAACTGTAAGGGATCAGTATGGTTAAAATTTCGCCGTCTATGAACTTCCAATTCAGGACAAAACTAATAGGTGTAGCACACTGACTGGGGCGTCGCAAAATGGGCATAAATTGGGTTGTGTTCCTTGCAGCAGATGAGCATTCGTAATGATACTGTGACCGATACGGAGTCTCGTATAAGGCGTGATGTAGTTGGACGGAATAGATGATGGGTAGCAAGGTTTGGTGTGGCTAGGGTTGATTCTAGCATAATGATGCATGTAATTCCCCCACTCAGAAAGTATCTTGTCCTGTCTCTGCTGCACAATAAATCGATGGATATCATTTTTACAAAATAGACTAGAAGTCGTAACAGGAGTGAAGCTCATATCTTTTGCCGCTTTGTCTGCAAAAATGTTGCCGCTGATGCCAGTATGCCCAGGCACCCACATGAGCCTAATTTTGAGAGGGTGGATAATCATGATATTTCTTATGCACCCAATTATGTAGTTGTGATTATTCAGGTTTTTAACAGCTTGGAAGCAAGATAGACTGTCCGAGCATATGATGAATTTGCCATAAGCTTTTGTAGCATATTGCACGGCGTGGAGAATGGCAGTAGCTTCAGCAGTAAAAATAGAACAAAAAGGAAAAAGTAAACCATAAGATATATTTTCACCATTTTCTTTAACAACGGCAAATGAAGTGTAATCTGCCTTGGAGCCATCAGTGAATAGCAGTTGCCAACCAGTAGCTTTAGAACGAGCTGATATATCCAAAAAACAAGCATTGTATTCAGCAGATGTGGTGTTGGACTTTTGGAAATAGCTTAAATCGTTTATCAAAGAAGATTTATTTAGCAACCAAGGAGGACGAAGATTGTATCTTGGTAGCGATAATTTGGCCGGCAAGCAATTCTCTTTTGCGTAGATAGAACACATGTAGATAGCTGAAGATATTTTACTGCCGTCCCTAAATTGGAGCGCTAAGCGTTGCGTTATCCATTGTCACAGAGTGTCATCGGGCGCTATACCCAAATCAACGCGTCGTCAATTTTGACGTTTTCTCATGTCCTCTCGTTTTTATTCTCGTTTCCTTTTTCACTTCTTTGTCCGTTCTCTTTCTCTTCGTCTTCTGCATCCAACTTCAGCACGTAACGCCCTGTCAAAAATGAAAATTCCATTTGCTCGGCGTTAGCGCCGCGTTATTGTGGGATGCTTCATACAAATTGTATGGGCATGAGGATTTTTGACAGTTGCTTGGCGCTTGACGCGCCAATTTAGGGATGGCAGTTAGGTGTTCGAGTGCGTGATGTTGCCGAATGAAAATCCTTTCTCAGAAAGATGTTGGATGTGAGCATGAGCTTGGGATAAAGTTTTCTTATACTGTCTTCCATGTTGTCGAAAAGGCAAGGTAGACCTGCTTCTGCCAGAATGTTTTTGATGGGCGACGTAGGAAATGCACGTATAGAACGGCGGACTGCAGTGTGGTAAGGTGCAGCCAACATCTTGAGGTGGTTTTTAGCATGCAGCCCATATATTTCCAAACCATAGTTGACAATAGAAGAGATGAGAGCCTTAGTGACATTGATCAGTAAGTCCGAGCCGATGAAGGAGCGTTTACAAGATAGATATTTAAGAATATTTAACTTACATATAGCTTTTGTCTTACGTATTTACAGTGTTCTTTGAAAGAATACTTAGAATCTAATACTAAACCTAAAAACTTAAGTGAATCTTCACAAATAATGTTTACACCATTAAAATTTAACAAAGGAATAGAACAACTACGTTTCTTACAAATATGGAGTAATTTAGATTTACTAGAAGAAATAGAAGCGCCTGAAAAAAGGGACCAATGGGAAATTCGAGATAGGATATTTGAAAAAGTAGACATTACTGTGTGCAAGTCAGAGCTTTTAGAAAATAATAATACGTCATCAGCATATATTTGATGGGAAACCGTCGGAAAATCCGAGAAAATTACACTGAGTTCATCGAAAGCTATTTTGAAAAGAATAACAGAAAGGGGAGAACCCTGCGGTGTGCCGTTATCAAGGGATAAGATAGGAGAACGGATGTTGGAAATTAGAACACTAACCTTACGATTGGACAGGAAGGATTTTATAAAATTGTAGATTCTCGGCCCAACCTTCCATTTATCTAGTTGTCTTAAAACTACATGGATTCCAATGCGATCGAAAGCTTTTAAAAAATCCAGTGATAGCAAAGATATATGATTCCTACAGGAAAGGACATCAGAAATAACGTGGTCAAGATGTAAGAGGGCATCAAGCGTACCCTGACCTTTCTTAAAAGCAACCTGGTTGTGATGAATGAATTTGTTTGAGTTTACAAACCATGAAAGTCTGGTAGCAATAATTTTCTCTAACAGTTTTCCCAAGCAAGGGAGCAGAGATATGGGACGATAACTGTTAACTTCAGACGAGGGTTTGCCAACTTTTAAAATGGGAATGACTGAACTAGTTTTCCAAAGATGGGGATAGTGGCCTGTTTTAAATATGTTATTATAATGTCTGAGAAGGCGAGAAATAAAGGGCATAGGAAGATGATTTATAATGGGGTATGAAATTTTAGCAAAACCCGGGGTTCTACCTTTAACCGCCGAAAGGGCAGATCGTAGTTCCAGCAAGGTAAGATCAGCATCCAATAGTCTAGCCGACGACGTCAGTCCATTAGGGGATGGGCGAGGAGTGCGGAGTGTGGCAAGCTTACTAGCTGTAAATTCAGGAGGAAAATTGGAATCAGAAGAGGAGTTGGAAAAATGAGAGGCCAATTCTAGAGCTATATCACGAGGATATAGTAGATTGCCATTCGGGGATTTTAGGAAGGAGAGAGGGGAATGCGAGGGTAGTCCTGTAAGCTTTCTTATGTCAGCCCAAACTTTTTTAGTACTAGAAGAGGCAGTAATGGTGCTGGTAAATTTTTTGAAGCATGCGACCTTGGCAGCTTTAGCACTACGGCGAAAAAGGGCATTGGCTTTCTTGTACAGAATGAGGTTTGTGGAGGTATAATTGCGCTTGAACTGACGCCACGCATGTTGTTTGCCCTCTCTTAATTTTGAAAGTTCGCTGCTCCACCATAACGGACTTGGTCGGATTGGTCTAGTTGGTGTAAGTGGGATGGCTTTGTTGGCTGCAGAGCGAATGATTTTTTGAATGCAGGATGTTTCCTGATTGATGTTAGACGAAACAGGAAAGTAGCAAGAAAATGTTTCGCAGGCGTCT